TGGATGGAGTAGGTATGGCCTACTGGGTGGGCATGGCCAGCTCTACATCATTCGTGTCAAGAGTGCCTGTGGGGGCCTGGGCAGGAGTGGGACAAATCTGAGGGTTTCTGGCAGAAGGGGATGGGACCGGGGCAAGCGCCAAGGCATGGTCCATTTCTTCATTCCTAACAAAGGGTGACACCTCCCCAGCATGCACCCAGGGGGTGGGGCTGGTTCCTCGCTGTTTCTAGATGGCCTTGTGGAGCTAAGGGACTGAATGCGTTTCAGCATAGATGGCCACCACAAAATTCTACATTGGCTCCCGGCCAGACTGGGCCAGGGCCAAGGCAGTGGGGGCCATTCCATCACTGTTTCCAAGATGGCTTCGCGGGCCGCATCAAACCACTTTGTGGGCCGCATCTGGCCCCCGGGCCTTGTGTTTGACATGTCTGGGATAGAGAGAGTGCAGCTGAAGCAGGGACTGGTTCCTCGCTGTTTCTAGATGGCCTTGTGGAGCTAAGACTGAATGCGTTTCAGCATAGATGGCCACCACAAAATTCTACATTGGCTCCCGGCCAGACTGGGCCAGGGCCAAGGCAGTGGGGGCCATTCCATCACTGTTTCCAAGATGGCTTCGCGGGCCGCATCAAACCACTTTGTGGGCCGCATCTGGCCCCCGGGCCTTGTGTTTGACATGTCTGGGATAGAGAGAGTGCAGCTGAAGCCTGCTACCGAGTCTCACAAGCTTGTCTGTAACTTCTTCTGCAGGAGCTGGAACTTCAGGTCCAGATGCATGGGCTGCCTTTGACTTCCACCCAGGGGCTTCTGGCACAGTCCTTGGGAGGAGATCCAATTCCACCATTTGCAGAGTCCCTGGACCTGCCCTTTTCAGCAGAAGAGCTGGGTCTGGGTCTCACACTGGGATCTGATGGGGGAGCCTTGCAAGATGTTCTCATGGACGAGGGGACTGCTCTGTCCCCACTGGGTGCCTCGGATCCACTTCTTTCCTCTGTCTCTCCTGGTGCCTCAAAGGGCAGCAGCCGCCGTTCCAGCTTTAGCATGGAAGATGATTCATGATGGCAGCCCTTGGATGGAAGAGCTGTTTTACATGTCTTGTTCTGACCCATTGCAGACTGCTGCTTACACTCATCAGCTTCAAAACCTGGAGGCTGCTGTAGGCTATAACCCTCTGGAAGTACCACTCATTTCATAATATTTTGTATTTTTAAAGGTGTCTCTTTAACAAAAAGGGTGGGGGCACACGGTTAAACCTTCTTCCTGTATAGAAGGTGGGCTCAAACCATGTAGTACCAAACTTTCTTCTTAACACAGTAGAAACAGAATTTTGTTACAAATTGTGGGACAATTTGTATGTTATCTGCACCCATTAAGGCTCAGAAATGCAGTGTGATAAACTTGTGCATCTCCTGTAGCTGTCTATGGAGATTCTCAGTCATCTAGGTCATAGTTGTCCCAAAGGTGTTTTTTCACGAGGCAACTGGACTTTGTTTTTCTTTGAAGACGTTTCGCTTCTCATCCAAGAAGCACCTTCAGTTCTGATTGGATGGTGTGCAGTCCCCACCATCCAGTCAGAGCTGAAGAAGCTTCTTGGATGAGAAGCGAAATGTCTTAAAAAAAAAAACGAAGAAAGTCCAGTTGCCTCGTGAAAAAACACCTTTGGGACATCTCCCGTACCCAGGGCTTTTTTTCTCATAGAACACCCAGAATGGAGTTCCGGCACCTTTTTTGGATGGAACCTTGTAGGGTAGGCAAGGCGGGTTGTATGACGTGTGAGTTCTGGCACTTTTTTTTTTTTTTTTTTTTTAGAAAAAAAGCACTGCCTGTACCTATTCTAAACTTCAATAAGGTGTTGCTTTAATGCTGTGCAAGGAGCATGTGATCGCAAACCTTGATTCTTTCACTTTAACCTTTAACTCTTGCATCTTTCCTGTATATAATTTGGGCAGAATTGGGAAGGGAAGGGAGAAGGAAAGTGGACTTCTTTCACAACATTTTTGGAAAGCAGAGAGCCACTACCTTTTTTTTTAAAAAAAAAAGAGAGAGAGCTTTATTTTATATAGATATTGGACTTTTTAATTTGTACATCTCAGCCTTTTCCTGTCATTGTTTCCAAGTTTTACTAAACTGCCACTTTCTACTTCGCATTTAATATTTGAGTTACTTGACACTCTACTTCATGATACGGCTAGACCATGTGGGAGAGCAACAAGACGGTACCCCTTGGAACTTCACTGGGCAAAGTTGTAGGGCAAAGAAAAGTAAAAAACGTTCTTAGAATTGCACATGTAACTATTGAAGAGTCATGGCTGCTCAGTAGGATATAATTGCCACCTCCCCTGGTTTTGGTAAGATAAAGGAAACTGTAATCAGTTTTTTTAAAATAATTTCTTGCTTACTAGATTGATGTTAGCAGAAGCCTAACAAACAGGACTGTTTTCTGATTTGTTAAGACTAAAAATACTGGAAGCAGATCTATGACCTGTTCTCTGGGTGTTTAAAAAAAATGGGCAAAAATTGTTGCAAAGACAATCATTTGGGCTTCACTGGAAACGTCATCACACCATGTATATGAATGCTCTTGAAGATACGATGACCCTGTTCCAAAAGGTTATCTGAACACATAAACTCTTAGATCTCCAATATTATTGGATGCCTAGATTTAAAAAGTTGCTTGGCACTTCTGTTTTCAGGAAGGATAACTGGGAGGAACTTCCTAAGAGGAGTTGGGTCTGAAGATGCATGGGATATAGATTGAACTTTACAGGAGGATGTGATAATGTAGGTAGCAATTTTGGAATGAGAATTATGAGTATCTGGGCAGCTTCTCAGCTGAGATCTTGAGCAGGAGACAAGGAAATGGGATTAGGTGGTCAGTGTAAATGAGTGGTGCATAGTGGTGTTGTAGCATGTTGGCAAGAAGAAAGACGGCAGAGGACAGAGCAACCTGGAGATACTAGATTGGACAAGTGGTTTCAGTTCTTAACATGAATTGAGTTGGACTGTTCAGGGGATGAAAGAAGGGGAAGAATTGCAAGTTTGGGGAGACTGTTTTTCCTCTTTTGTGGATTCTACATCCTTAATGACCCAGATACCACTTTGTATTGTTTTATTTTGTATGTTTAAACATTTCCAATTACCAAAACTAGAGGCTTCTAAACAAATAAATGAACAATGACCATTTTCTATAGTGAATTATGCCACCTGCTTCATCACTGTGTCCTGCAAAATTTAAGGTGTCTCTATTTTTTAAAAAAGCCGTATCTGGTTGGTGATCAAAAAATCAAGATTTCTCATGTTGAAAAAAAGGATCTGGATTCAAGCTAGCGAGAATTCATATTCATTAACCTTATTTTACATAAAGGATGGCTGAGAAAACAGTTGTTCCACACTTTAACAATGTGATTCGATCTCTGGGTTTCCAATTGACCACCATTATTTTAGTTTCTGTTCTGAAGTCAGCAACGGAACAACAAAAAATCTCAAATGCAATCTTGTAACTGATGTGTTTAGTCCATGCTTTTATTAAAGATTCAATAAAATCAGGGTTACTAAGTGTCACACTTGACATTCAGATGCACATTTCTGATTCTAGAGTGCTGAGTGCATCAGTTTTGGGTCATATATGAAGTCTTATTTCCTTCAAAGATTCACAAATAAGGGATTAAGGGATACACTCACCAAAGTTATGGGCAAGAGAAATAGTATGAATTAAGTTTTGTCATCAGCTATTCAGGGTTAAAGATTAAACATCCTTCATAAATGACATGTTTATATTTATGGTTTTATTTACTGGGATATAGGGACCTGATTTTTTTGATCTAGCATGCTACTTAGTAGGCTTTCAAGGAATCAAACATATTTTACAAAAAGTAAACAGATACTTTACAAAAGTATCTGTTTACAAGGAATAACTTTGTATTTAGATAACACAGTTATTTCTCCTAAACAGATACATATTTAATGAATGCATGGTTTGCCATATAGTCAATGAATGACAAAGCTAATAAAATTAACTTCTAGTGGCAACAGTTTCCAAAGGACAGGCAAATGCTAGTTTGGACTACAACTACACTGAATCTCTTTTATATTATTTTAGAAATTAGGAATATTCCCTGCCTCGAGAGCATAGTATTTGTGGTCAGTACGTTTCATGCATTTTGGGAAGCTGCTAATGGCTGGATAAGATGGCTTTCAAGGCTGGTAGTCTTATTCATAATGGTACCGATTCAAAATTATTACTATAAGAAGCCCTTCTTCATTGTTGTTAACTTCCCGATCCTGGTTATTAATTCAGATGGTGGTGGCCCGCCCAGAGACATTTGTTAGACTGAAGTCTAAATACTATTTTGTGGCACATTCAATGCAGATGAGTATTACAGAAAAATTGGCAGATTTTAGTTCACAAGTGCTTATAATTTGGAAAATTAGAAAAGTTTGAACTGATTATATGCAGAAAATAGATGTAAAGTTTAGATTTCATTCAAACTCTAATCCACCTAATGGAGGAGTGAGTGGACCTCAAACTGTTAATCACAAGGGAAATAAATGGGGAGGGGAGAACAGCTCCAGAATGGGATGTGCTACATGGATAAAGCTTCCATTTAATTTATTCTCTCTGAAAAAAAAATATTTCACATACTTTTTTATATTGTATCAAACAAGTAAATCTGGTTTAGCATGAGATATGAATAGCTTTAACAGATGTAGTTATCTTGTATAAATCAAATATATTAAGACCGGGGAATCTTCTGAAGAGACTTTATTTCCCTATGAACAGTTGCACAATAATAAGTATTCCCTTGGTACCTACGTTTAGGAATGTACCCTCACAGAACCTTCCTCTACATAACTGCACTGTTAGCTGAGGTGGCGCAGCAGTTAGAGTGTAGTACTGCAGGCCACTTTAGCTGACTGTGTTCAGCAGGTCAGCGGTTCAAATCTCACGGCTCAAGGTTGACTCAGCCTTCCATCCTTCTGGGGTAGGTAAAATGAGGACCCAGATTGTTGGGGGCAATGTAAATATATATATACATTGCTTACTGGTGTACACCGCTTAGAGAGTGCTTGCACTTAAAGCGGTATATAAGTCATAAATAAATAAATAAATAAAATTGAACGGAAGGGGCCTTAAACAATGTAGTTCGTATGGGATTGCTTTGTTTCCCGCAAAAAGTACCCCTGCGCGGCTTTATCCGTTATTCCCGTTAACGGGGAGCAATTCTTGAACACCCGCTTTGCATGCAGAAGACTTCGGTTCCATCCTCACGATCTCCAGGAAGACTGCGAGGGGCTGCTAAAGTCGATACTTCGTTGTAAGGCGCCCCTTGCCGATTAAAGCGCTTCCACCCCCAGAGACCTTCCTAAAAGGATCCGGGGAGAACTCGAGATATGATCCCCAGCGGAGGCAGAAGAAGATGCGCAGCTCGTCAGCTACTGGCGACTTTACATCTCATGCAGGAGGCGAGAATAACTGTGACCTGACCCCAGGAACGAGAAGACGCCGAAGACGTGCATTTTTTTCAACTGTTACTTGATCACTTCCGAAGTCGCTTCTTCACCCACCTCCTCGGCCATTTTGGTTTAATCTATATGACACAGCTGAGCTCAACAGCTGTTACTTCCGGCATCTCTATGACCCCCACAGGAAAACGCTTGGATCCTTTCTAGGCTTCTGTTTCTATGGGAGAATCTGAACCGCAATAGTACACTTTCTCCTCTTCCGCACGCCCCTCATCCCTCCCTCCTTCGTCATCCCTCCCTCCTTCCTCAGGCGCCAAAGCTCCAGTTGTGAATCATCCTTCTTAATTAGTGCCCTCCCGCATCTCTATGCCTCTTCACTTCCGGCCCCGAAGCTCTAGTCCGCCGCCGGTTCCGCTGTTCCTCTCTCCGGTGCAGAGAAAAAGAGACCGTCTCTTAAAACATCCGTCCTCTCTCTCTCTTGCTCCTCTATGATATCTTCTTAAAGCCACCTCGGTATACTTCTCCACGAGTGGGAAGGGGCAGGCTTCGCGATTCCTTCTTCCTTTCTCCTTTGGATCGTACCAAGCTGAAGCCGAGCCGGGGGCAGCGGCGGCGGCGGCGGGGGAGGGAAGATGGCGCAGGCCTTGTCCGAAGAGGAGTTCGAGCGTATGCAGGTGCGTCTGGCTGGCGGGGGAGCAGAAAAACGAGAGATACCAGCGGGGAACCTGTGAAGCATCCTTGGAGCAAGGGGACGGGAGTGGGGAAAGAGACGCGCCCTGGAGGAGTGGGCTCCGGTTCCGGGAAGCTTTCCCAGCGGAGAGTATGGCGACGGGTCGTGGGGGAGGGACTTGCAAAGGCGAGAGGAGGGGGCGCGACGTCCTAAGAGTTGCGCATAGGGGAAACGTCTTTTTTTTCGGGCTGCTCCCCCGGAGCCTAGAGCAAAATCCGAGGTTCCGCTAATGAGCGGGCAAGCCCACCGCAGCTGCTTTCCCAGCTTAGCTCTACGCACGTTCTCCGCAGTTGCGCTTCGAACCTTTCCAAGGCTCGTTTCAAGCGCCTGAAGCCAGCCTGCCCCAGCTGGTTCGGTTTGGACTACAGTTCCCAAGATCCCTCCGCAGGGTAGCTTCTGGAAGTGGTAGTGGAGCACATCTGGAGGACAGAGATGGTGGAAGGCTGCCTTGGGAATACATTAATTAATAGATGGGGGTGGCTCTGGTCCTGGTGGGCGTAATTAAATCAGATTCTTGGAACAGAGCCACCTCTCCAGATCTGCATGGAGGCTTGGTTGGTATTGCATTGCCTCATTTTTGCTCTCCGCCCCCCCCCTCCACCCCCACAGATGCGGAATTGGCTAGTCATCACTTTACTGGGGTGGCCTAAAGGAAAATGGGGTTGCTGTCTCTTTAGAGGCTGCCACAAAGAAGAGGGAGTCAAGCTATTCTCCAAAGAACCTGAAGGCAGGACAAGAAGCAACGGATGGAAACTAATCAAGGAGAGAAGCAACTTAGAACTAAGGAGAGATTGCCTAACAGAACAATTAATCAGTGGAACAACCTGCCTCCAGAAGTTGTGAATGCTCCAACACTGGAAGTTTTTAAGAAGGGACTGGACAACCGTTTGTCTGAAATGATAGGGTTTCCTACCTGAGCAGGGGGTTGGACTAGAAGACCTCCAAGGTCCCTTCCAACTCTATTATCATTATATAAGAGAAAGAATCTTTCCAGTTTTTTTTTCTCATGCCCGACATTACAAACTCTGCTTATCAGCATCTCTTCTTTTGCAAAAGTATTTTAAAAGCTCTGCTGTTTGGATTGTATTTATTAAGCTTTAACAAACCTGGTAATGTCTGGGTGTTTCAGATTACAAATCCCAATCACAGAACCAACAGTGATAACAGTTGAACATATTGGGTGTGCACCACCTTGAGAAAGTCTGTCTTTGTGTACTCAGAGTAAATGCATAGATATACCCACCCACCTGCCCTTAGTTGCATTACTATAAATTGCTTGTTTTCAAGGTTCACTGAGGACCCATTTCGCTCCTATCTACAAGTAAAGCGGTGTCCTTTCCTTCTCTTGCCTTTGTACCTTTTCAGTTGTAACATGATAAAAGGTGAATAGTGTTCCCATTTCAAGATGTTATATTTAATATGGCGAGACCATACATTCCACCTCTCCCTTTTATCTCTCCTCTTATGATTACAGATAATCTTTTGTGCCTGGTGGAAAATTCTACAAGTAAAAGAGTTGATCAGTTTTATTATCAGGATAATATTCACCTTGGCAAGATGGGCAGCATAGATGTTTAATAATATTTTTTTAAAAAATTCAGCATATGTGGACACTACCTATTTTGCAGTGCCATGCAGGAACTTGGTCAGTTATGGGTTTCATAATTATTGGCTCAGACAAATATTTTATCTCAGATAAGCTTTTGATACCTGCAGAGTTCTTTGCAACTCTTAGTTAATACTTAATTTTCATTTGGTGCTGAAGTACAAATATCTTTCTGGAGGTTAATATGGATTTTTTTCCTACATGTTTAGCACACCTTGTGAATTTTGGATGTTCTGAGGAGGATACAGAATTAGAGAGAGATATTAGCTGTCTTAGTCACTGCAACAACTCAGCTTTGTGATTGCCAGTTCAGGATTGGAAGTGTGATGTATTGACAGTAGAATATGCTGCTGCAGTGGGTTTAGCTCTTTTGGAGTGTAGTTTTCAAGGCCTTAGAAGGGTAGGTGGAAACCCAAATGCAGTTAGGGCCTTCAGTATTAAAACAATAAGTGGGAAAAATTAATCCCCCTATGGAATTTATAAGAGTAAATCTTATAGATCACAATACAGGGCAATAGAAACCTTCCCATTTGCTTTGCATCTTCTTTCTCCAACTCTTAAAAGCCAGTCTGATTTACTGGATGGACTTTGGATAACTGGGTTTAAAGCCCCCTCAGTAATGGCAATTCTGTTCTAATCTTTATCTCATTTTGTCAGTCAAGAATAATACAAAGTTATTTTAAAAAAATAATTAGGAATTAGTAGCAATGTTGCCAACAATTTGCAAAAGACTCATACGCACACTGCATCTCAAAACAGTGTGTGTTCAGAGCCCAAACTTTGAAATGAACTGCTGGGTTTTCTGACCTCAAGAGTGGATCTCCTGATGCTTCATGGTTTTAGTTCAACTCCTTGGCTTGACTTGGCAGTGATTCCCAGACTTGGTTCCGCTAGATTAGAATCTTTTTTATAGTCAGGAGTGAAGCCATGCAGAACTGTCATAGTGGAAAGATGTACATTTGTATGTACAACTTCTGAATTAGTAGATATGTGGCATAGCACTCAATGGCCATGAAGCTAAGCAGCCATCTCTGTTGAGGAAGCTGATGGTTCCTGCCTTAATCTTCGTAAAAACCAAGTTGGTCTTAATCCTGCCTAGTCATCTACATGACTTCTCCTGGTGAGGTTGTTTTTTATTAAAATCTTTTTTTCTTTCTCTCGGTAGGCCCAGTTATTAGAACTTCGAACACAGAATTACCAGCTCTCTGATGAACTCCGCAAGAACACAGCTGGTAAAATTTCTGCTCAGTTCTGCTTCCCTAGTAATGCTGTGATCTGGGCCATTTCATTTTGTATCCAGTGTGAAAGCATCAAAATGTCTGCATGTATTCATATATGCTCGCGTTTGCATAATGGTTATGCTGGTTCAGTCATGCTGATTTAGCATGACTCTTAACAAAATCTGAAATTCCAAGGAAGGGCGTAATAGAAAAAAAGCAGTGGAATGAATAGCTGTGAAAAGTTACAAGAAATATTAGCTAGAATCTAATACTGGCCACAGAATTCAGTTCCTGTTTAAAAGAAATGGCTTTCTCAGCCATATGAAGTTATGTTTAAAGTTATGAGTGAAGATGCACAGACAATGTATGATGAAATCTTAGGAGCAGGCAGATCACCAAGAAAGCTTTCCTGTGGTTTGAGGATAAGGCTTCAGTGTCTATTTAGCACCGCATCCTTCCATGCGAAGAGCAAAAGCAGAATAAAGTTCTCGGGTTTGTCAAACTTATATTTAGTTTGTGCTCAGAAAATGGCTGTAAAAACATTCATCTTTTTTTTCCACTTCTTTGCATCTTCTCTGGCTTTTGGAGAGGAAATAAGATTTCATTTAGTGTTTTGTTGTTGTTATTTCTTTATTGCTTCTCTCATCTTTAATGAGTATATTCTCTGCATCATTTTGAAGGCATAAAAAGTTTTTAAAAAATCTTTCTCTGTAATTAAAATGATCTGTTACATATCTTGCTACAATACTCCTCTAAATCTGGTGCGTCTTTCGTTTTGGTGCTCACAAGGCCAAGCAAGCATGCATTGCTGCATAAATTCTTTTACCTTTAGCAGACTGATAGATCAGAGGGCTAGAAATGGGCTTTTTAAGTACACATTCAAAAAAATCAGAATGATCAGAAATTGAGGATCGGATACCATATTTCATACTTTATCCTACATGTTCAGAATGGCAAAAGACAGATGCTCTATTTCTAAAATATTTTCTTAATTGTGATTTGTTTTTTCCTTGATTTTTTTAGAATTAAATGGGCTCCGACAACGGGTCGCCTATTTAGACAAGGAATTTACTAAGGCTCAGAAGGTAAAGTGAGATTCTTTAGTGGAATAATGAATATATAAATGTGTGTGTATGTATGTATGTATGTATGTATGTATGTATGTGTGTGTGTATATGTGTGTGTGTGTGTGTGTGTTTGTATATAAGTTGTACAGTAATAGTTGTGGGCAATTTTCTCTCATATTACATTCCCATTCCTAAATGGTGAAAGGACATAACTAAGTTTTTAAAAGAGTTAAATAATTTCAAAATGTATAATTAAGGTGTTTGTACTCATTTTTAAGGGGTTCTATAAATGTAAATAATAAGCAGGATAAAAATCAGAATTTGGTATAATTGGTATAATCTGTACCTAAACCTTATTGGTGCTTTGTTAACAACTTCCCCTCTTTTCACAGGCTCTGAATAAGAGTAAAAAAGCTCAGGTAAGGTATCAGTATAAAGTATCAATTGCCATGTCAACTTCAGTCCTGCCTGGATCCAGACTATCTGCCATCACTTGTTTCTAATACTTTTGTTTTGTTTCTCACCCGTCTGCAAGTCTTTCTTTCCTTCTTCCACATGATTCCAATTTCCCTGTCCAGTTGTTGTTGTTGTTGTTGTTAATTGCAAAGTTGTGTCCGACCCATCGTGACCCCATGGACAACGTTCCTCCAGGTCTTCCTGTCCTCTACAGTATCAATAATCTAAATCAAATGGTGCGATCTTAGTTCTCTGGTTTTGCTAAGCTATGATTTGGAGTCATTGGATACGAGATGGATGGCAAATAAATTTCCTAAATAAATAAATAATTTTTTAATGCAGATATTCAGCAGCCCCCAAATTTAAAGAAAACGTTTCATAAACAGGTAGTCCTTGACTTAGGATCACAATTGAGCCCCAAATTTATGTTGCTAAGTGAGACATTTGCTAAGTGAGTGTTGCCCCATTTTACGACCTTTCTTGCCATCATTGCTCTTGTTGAGTTAGTGACACAGCTAAGTGTTAAGTGAATTGGCCTTCCCTAGTGAGTTTGCTTGTCAGAAAGTCGAAAAAGGGGATCAAATGTCCCTGGGACACTGCAACTGTCATAAATATGAGTCTGTTGTCAACCATCAGAATTTTGATCCCGTGATCATGAGGATGCAACGGTCATGAGTGTGAAAACCGGTCATAAGTCACTTTTTTCAGTGCCTTTGTAACTTTAGACGGTCACTAAATGAACTGTTATAAGTCAAGGAGTACCTGTACATGTCCCCTTTAGTTGGTCTGAGAGACGTAGCTGACCATGGTCTAGATCAGCAATCCCCAAGCTTTGTGGCTTGGCAGCCTGCCCAGGAGGAGCGGGGAAGTGGGCCATGCGAGGAGCGGACCAGCATGCACGTACGTGTGCATATAGCTTGACTTGTGCAAGTTGAGCTGCACACACGTGTGCAAGTGTAGTGGCCCGCCACTTGCGCAAGTCACACATACATGCTTGCCAGCCCTGCCACTCACACGGCCTGGTTGCAAATAGGCCACAGCCCCGTAGTGGGCCGCGGCCCAGGGGTTGGGGACCTCTGGGCTAGATGATTTCCATATCTCTTTCACCTATTCTTCCTCTTGGATACATCCTGCCACCAATTTCTCTGCTACTCACTGCATAACTGCTGGCATTCCATCATGAATTAAGGGCCACTTGGCATAAGATGGACCATCTAGAATTTGAGTAGGGAAAATAAAAAATACAGGAAGGTAGTAGGTGAGAACATTTCCTAATATTGTTAGGAGATTGGCAAAGGAAGCGCAATCTGCTTGACGATTTGGACCTGCCATCTAGTGGAAGGAAGTGAACCTTACCATGATTATGTGTGTGGGATCTCATGCAACTTTATTGACTTTGTAGGAAGTGGATGCACTGCTTAGTGAAAATGAAATGCTTCAGGGAAAACTGCATAGCCAAGAGGATGACTTCAGGCTGCAAAATAGCACTCTCATGCAGGAGCTCTCCAAGGTACTGGACTGTTATTCCTTTTGCAGTGCCACCAGGGTCGTGCCAGGGGGTGCTGTGTGACACAAAATAGCACTGCAGGTTAACCATGCAGAATTCTGAGATAGAATTCTAGAACCATAGGGTCGGAAGGAGCCATTTAGGCAGGCGCATTCAGCCATCTGGCAAGTGCAGAAACTCAAAGTCTAGTTTCTTAACAAATGTCTATCCAGCTTCAGTTTGAAAACAATCAGATCTTACAAAATGTAAGTTATGAAAGTGCAGGAACTCCACTCAAAGTCAGAACGGAATGAATTAGGCCTGTGCAGTGCTTCAGACTCAGTCTCCAAACAGTACATGGGAAGGCACAGGTATGCAGGCTTGTCTCAAGCCCCTTAAAGCAGCTGTTCTCTTTCTCAGGATCGGTTCTGAGAAAAGACCTTGTGAAGGTGTTGCAGACAGGCGCTAGGTTCACTCCCCTGTGTCCTTCAAAACATATTTTGCGCACTGAATCTAAAATCTTGGACAAAATATTTATCTACATATATAATTTAATACTTTTAATCCAACATCTTCAGCTCAGGCCGGAGAGATTCTTCGTCTCGGTGATTCATTTTATCTTTTCTAATCTTTTATTCTGTTTGTTACTACTGCTGGCCCAAAACAGATACCAAATATAAAATGTGGGTAGGACAAAACCCAGCCTTCAGCTCCCCAAACAAACTTCTTCATGCACGCATGAAGAATTTTTTCCTTGTCTTTCACCCTAGTTTGACTGTCAGATTGGCAAGCCCAATTGCTGCAAATGTTTTTTTCTTTTTCCTTCCATTCTCACAGTATGGTGTTTGAGTCATTTGTGTGGTATTAAAAAAGCATTCTGAGTGGGAAGCTTTTCTTAGCATCTGTTGTTTGCATGCTTACTGAGTTTGGAAAAGTGCAGGCTAATCGGTAGGGGGTGAAAGCTTTCCGTGCATTTGGTGTATTTATTAGATTACTCCTAGTTCATTAAACCAAAGCCATTGAAGAAGGGAAAGATCACTACATCCTTTATAGTCAGTGCTTTAGAGCAGCGGTTCCACTTGGTGGCTGGGCCCCGGCACAGGGGATGCGTGAATGGTACCCACACGTGCGTGTACACAGCTCCATGGGTGCAAGTGGCGGGCGCGAATGCCCTCCACTCACGCAAATGGAGCTTCAGGCGTGAGTGGAGGATGCTTGCCCTTGCACACAAATCTCCACTTCTGGAAGCGACAGGCACTTGTCCTGGCATATGAAGCTCCGCTTGGGCGAGCAGAGGGCACATGAGCAGAGGCTGCTTGTGCTCGTTTGTGAAGCTCCACTTGCTCAAGCGGCGAGTGCTTGTGCACAAAGCTCCATTTGCACGAATGAAGCTTCGTGCACAAGCGCCCTCCACTTGTGCGAGTGGAGCTTTGTGCATGAGTGCAAGTACCCTCTGCTCAAGTGCCCATCACTTGCATGAGTGGAACTTCACACGCGCACGCTTGCCCATCGCTCACACGGCCCAGTTTCAGACAGGCCACAGCCCAGTAGTGGGGGTTGGGGGAGACCCCTGCTTTAGAGCACTCTCTTGGGACTTATTTTGGGGAACTGGAATAACAAGTGCTTTTTCTTGCCCTGAAGATCTGGGATCAGCTGCAGACCAATTTCACCCCAGGTGGATCATCTGCGCTTTTTGTTCAGTGTCCTGGGAAATGTATTACTTGCTGAAATCCCGTCCTTTGGTCTTTCAAATGCAGCTGTGCTCGCAGCTTGAGCAGTTGGAGAAGGATAATCAGATTCTTCGGGAAGGGAAGACAGCAGTAGCCGGTGAAGGGTCGTTCCCAGCCAGCTCCGTGGATGGCGAGCTGTTAAGGCTACAGGCAGAGAATTCTGCCCTGCAGAAGAACATGGCAGGTAGCTTTCTTACTGGCATACAATTGTGGGGGCTTAAATTGAAGTTTGGAAAGTCCAAGGAATTGGACAGGGGGAAGATTGGCCAAGTGGAGCACTTTACAGCAGCCTTCCCCAAATATGGCCATTGCTGAGACTTCTGGGCGTTGAAGTCCATACAGCACAATGGGGAAGGTTGTCTGCAAAGGTTGCAGTATTATAGGAGAAAAAGTTATCTCCCTTCTAGATTTTTTTTAAAAAACAAAATCACTGTAATAAGCATATTGGAAACTTGGCTATTATATACGTACCATTGTACTTCTAATTTTGATGAAAGGCTACTAAATATCATATGACTATTACTGGGCGCTTTTTCACAGGATTTCATCAGCAGATTTTTAAGAGAGAGGGATTTTCCAGACTGGGAAAGGAGTTTGGGAGGCAAAGTTGGTCCCTGGGTCTGAAAGCGCCCATCCTTGATTTTATACCAGTATTTTTCCAAACTTGGCAACTTTTAAGACGTGTGGATTTCACGCCTTAAATTTTCCAGCCATCTAGAATTGTGCTCCGTACATCTTAAAAGTTGCCCGGTTTTGAAAAAGACAGATTTAAAAGGGATACAGAAGAAGGAATCTGTGGTCTGCTCAGAATGGATGATCCTTGTTCTGCAGCTTTACAGGAGCGCTATGAGAAAGAAGTGGCCCGGCAAGCAGAAAACCGAGGTGGCGGGAAAGGTGATGGTTCTCCGGATTCTTGTCCCGCTATGCCAGAGACGACTTCAGAACAGCCGGCATTTGACAGCGACAGTAGCAGTGCCATTTCCCAGCAGCTTCTCTCAGAGGTGGAACTGAAACTGCAGACCGAGAGGGAGGAAAAAATATTGCTGAAGGAGCAGCTGCAGAGTCTCGAGGTAAGAAGGACTCCCTGATATTTGCTCCCCTTTGCCAAGCGTTGATTTCTGCCTCAGCTGGAGGCTGCAGCTATTGGGAAGTAGTTTGTAGGGAGCAAGAAGTCATTTCTCATCACACATAAAATAGAACAATTTCAAAGAAAGCAGGAGATGGAAGAAAGCAGAACATTCTGACCTCAGCATTGATCTTCAGGATAGCAGAAGACATCCCATGCCATAGATTAAGGATGGGATGTGGTCAAACGTTGTCCACTCTCAGCATTTCTCACCACAGGCTATGTTGGTTGGGGTTCCTGTGACTGGCAGTTCAATGGCATCTCGATGGACCATAGGAGCCTTGCTCCAGATTGCATTTGTCCATTTCCATCCCTGCCCTATCTTCCAAGTACCAAAGAATAGCAATAGCACGTAGACTAATATACTGCTTCACAGTGCTTTGCAGCCCTCTCTTAAGCCATTTTACAGAGTCAGCATATTGCCCACAACAATCTGGGCATTTTACCAACCTTGGAAGGCTGAGTCAACCTTGAGCTGATGAGACTTGAATTGTCAAACTGCTGGCAGCTGGTAGTCAGCAGAAGTAGCCTGCAGTATTGCATCCTAACCACTGCACCACCTTGGCTCAGAAGCATTTGTCGCCCAATTGCCGTGGCTTATAGTAACTGGATTTGCATGTGAAATCACTTCTCACTTGGATTAATTTAATTTAATTTAATTTAATTTAATTCACTTAATTTTGTTGTGAGTTACACAATGACAATAAAGATTTCTATTCTATTCTATTCAACATTCCTATTCTGTTCTGTTCTACTCTACTCTACTCTACTCTACTCTATCCTACTCTACTCCTATTCCTATTCCTATTCCCATTCTATTCCATCCCATCCCATCCCATCTCATCCCATTCCTCTAATGTGGAATCTGGGGCTGCCCTTGAAGATCATCCAGAAGCTGTACTTGGTTCATCATGCAGCCGTGCCTCATGCACGGGAGCTTGCAATTCACCCATGTCAATGCTGCTGCTATATGAGTTTCATTGGCTTCCAGATACAATTCAGGGTGCTGGTTATCATGTTTAAAGACCTAATGGCACAGGGCCAGGTTATTTGTAGGACAAATAAGGTGGGCACACCCAGATCTTTTCCTTCAAATGTTGCCCTCTGGAGGGATCTTGGAAGCACTTCTCTTTTGTGGCTGTCATGGCCTTTTGGAGCATCCTTTTCCCTGAGATACGGAAGGCCCCAAATCATTAGCTTTCTGGAGGACCGTGAAGACCTGGCTCTTCACTCAGCACTGGGCTAGAGTGCTACTGAAACCAGTAGATCTAGACATTGTGGGATATTACAGTACTGTGACAGGATAGGTGATGAGTTTTTTTGGGGGGGGAAGCAGGTCTGTGGATTTATATTTATCTGTTTTTTATGGAACGTTGCCGTGAGCTGTCCATGTTTATAACATGTGTAAGATAAGCAGTCATATGCATTTTCTACCAACATAACTAAATTATATTCAATTAGAAGTGCGCTGATCTAATATAACTGTTAATAGCGAAATGGCCAGTGTTGTTAGCATGGCAGGGAATGTTTCAGCAAAGAATAATACAGAGACTTGAAAGCAGGAGAGGATCCGGATCATAGCGATCGGTCCTTTGTTTCCAAATGCAGGCCTTTATTTTTATTTTTTCTTCCCAGAAGAGGGAATGGGGAACTTTTGGTTGGATAGGATAAAGTAAATGATCCTCAGTATGCTGCTTTTTAAACTAGAAAATTTAGACGTTGCCTCTTCCTTGTCTCACCACTGCCCTGATATGGTCGTTGTCTTATAGAACCACCTGGCGGAGTTGTTCAAAACAATCGCCAGATGAGTGAAAGACTCTGAATGCTTGAGACAGGTCACTGTGTTTGCCTCTCCTTCCCCTCCTGTAGGCATCCAAGACAACGGAGACCTCCCGCCTGCAGCAAGAGCTCTCCAAGGTAAGAGGGGAGAGAGTTTTGTATGGCTGGTCACATTTTTGGGAGGGCGAGGATTGCTGGTGAGAACTTACAGCCTTTTCTCTCTTATGCAGTTTGTGGAGAAGCTTAAGAAGAAGCAAGAGAGGTATGTTTTGGAGGTGGGGAGCTTGCTCAGGCTAAGGAATGGGATTTACTCCTTGTTAGCTAGCCAGGCTCCTACCTGCTTGATTGCTGTTCCTGTTACAAGCGAAAGTTTGCCCTCGTCTCAAGAAGTCTGAATGAATGCTCCTTCCTCCACTGCGGAGAGAATGTTAATATGTTCTGCGGGGGGGGGGATTTCCCTTGGGAATCAGCTTTAGTCTCTCTTGCATTCTGTGTTTTAATTTCTCCCTATCTTGGTGTCTCGTCCTCTTTTAGCTTTGTGCGGCTTCAGACAGAAAAAGAAGCTCTCTACAATGACAGCAGGTAGGGGCTGGGCAATCTGGAATTTTGCCCTCTGCGCCAGCGCAACAGTGCACTCTTCACCTAAGCCTGTTTGAGAAGCACCGGGTGGTTGGTTGGAGCAGAGCTTTGCAAAGGACATTTGAAGCCGGGGTTTTGGGAGAAAGGGGGTGGGTGGAAGGAGGAAGATGGAGAAATCCACTGCCAGTATTACAATCCAGATCATCAGAAAATCACCGCTGCGTGAAAGCATTACATAAAAGTCTGGCAAGGTGATCCCTGTGGGAATCCGCTGCGCAAGCCTGTTGATGGCGTGGAATGAATTGCACTCATGCCTGACTGGTCTGAAGTGGGCCCGGTTAAGTAAGCAGAAAGCCTTGGGACTCTTCCCCTTCTTCCCAGCCTCTTGAATGATCCCTGGACCCATTTTCATTGCGTTTATTTAAGCTGTGCAGTACGGCTTTCAGATATTATAATGATATAACAAATTAGATAATAAAATAGCAGATTACACTGTAGCTGAACAAAGCAATGTTATACCATGTGGGTAGGTGAGGCAGGGCCTCTAAGCTCAAGAGTGCCGGTCTATCTCTCCCCTGTTTAGCAAAAACAAATGATCTGTGTAAAGCAGACCCTGATACAGAGTAGATTAGACACATGTGCATAATTTAGATCCAGTGTTGTACCTCTTAGCTAACCTTGGCTGGTCTTGAGTACTATGCAAACTTAATTTTAATTACTGCTTGGATGGGGGACCATCTGGGAGGCTCAGAGCTGTTGGCCAGATTTCAACGTTGAATTAATTGGATACTCTAGAAGAAGGCAGTGGCAAACCACTTTCGTTACACTGCTTAGAAAGCCTGGATGTATCCATGAAAGTCCCCAGAGTTGAGCATAGCTGAAAACTGGAGGGTCTTGCTTCTTTTCTTGACTGGAATTTGCCTCAGCTGGGTGCAGGTTTTAACTGAAAATGAAACTGGATATGGGGCTGGAGCACTGGGCAGTAATGGTGTTAAAAGTGCTTTGATGAAAAACCTGCTGCAGTGGTGGGTGCTGAGGAAAAAGTGTGGAAAGGAGCATATTCCTGGGAAAACAAGCAATAAAACAGATAGAAATAGATAACCTTTATTGTCATTTTTTTTTTACTGTGGGCATAATGACACACATTAAAAATGAAATTTAGTTGCTTGCTCTCAAAGTTTACACATACATAACACACATTTAAACATACTATATACAACAAATGTATAGACTTACACCCTTACATATAAGTAACATATAAATATTAATCACTGTCCATCTTGAATACATAACGGAAGGAGGAAGTTTTAGAGTTCACAAGATTAATACTCTAAAAAACTCTTTAAAAACCCTCTAAAAATCCTATAAATAATAATAATAATAATAATAATAATAATAGCCCCCCCAGTGAGGCACTACCTTGACGTGGTTGTGGGGCTTGTGTACTCTGAGGAAGATGAGAGCTATGCCAGAGGTTCAACCATACTGGACAGGTCTCATCAGAGGAGTCAGACAAAGAGTGTCTCTCCCATACAAAATCTGGTGAGACGTAAATTTCAGAATGCCATACCGGCTCGGATGTCGCCCGGGTTAACAAGGTCCGCGCTAGATATTGGAGTTCCTGGATATCTGGTGAAAAATGGGTTACAGGACTCAGGACTGTTGGCTGAGCAACCAGGGCCAGCAGCTGCAGAACTACTGGAAGAAAAGATGTTTACCCGTCGCAGATACACAGTGATGGAAAATAAAGAAATAATGATCTGTTACTACAGATCAAGTCCAACAAGACGAGGATATCTAAAACGAATGCACCAGTTCTGGAAAGAACAACATCCAGAATCAGAAATAACAGAACAGAGACTAGCAGATCAACGCCGATTTATAATATCATTTGCCTGTAAGCAAAAACTATCATTTGCCTGTAAGCAAAAACTGGTGGGATCATAAAATAGAGAAAGTCATAGAAAATGATAAAATTAAACTGCTCTGGGACTTCAGAATTCAAACAGACAAGCACCTGCAACATAACACCACAGACTTAACAATTGTCGATAAGAAAAACAAAAAAGTCTGGATAGTGGACGTGGCAGTGCCTGGAGATAGCAGAATAGAAGAGAAAGAACTGGAGAAGATAACAAAATACAAAGACCTACAAATAGAAATAGAAAGACTGGCAAAAGCAAGCAAGGGTAGTACCAATAGTCATAGGCTCCTTGGGTGCAATCCCAAAACAACTGGAGCACCACTGGAACACCATTGGCATTGACAAATTCGCTATTAGTCAATTGCAAAAGGCGGCCTTATTAGGAACTGCTTCCATCCTGCGACGATACTGTAATACCATCAAACATCCACATCTGCCTATCCCAGGTCCTGGGTAAGGACTCGATAGGTAGACAAAATGCCAAATCCAGTCTGAACATCTGGCTGACTGTGCAATGATCCATAATAGCCAAATCCAGTCTGAACATCTGGCTGACTGTGCGATGATCGATAATAATAATAATAACATTAAAAAAGCTAGAAACAGGGATGAGTGGATGAGATGGGAATGAAAAAGGCATTTCCTCCAAAAGTAGGGAGGTGAGAGAGGAGATTGAAACAGCCAGCAGAATTACCCAAAGGCAACAGAGCAGCTTAAGGAGAAGAAAGCAAGGTCCCTGACTTCCCTCTCCTCTGCAAACAAATTTTCTCTTCCCCTATTCAGGACCAAAATTGAGGAGATCCAACAGCGGAAGGAAGAGGAGCTCAAATCTCTGCAAGTTCGTAATCAGAAGCTGCAGCAGGAGCTCCAGACCACAAACCAGGTAAAAGGCATTTTTCCTTCTCCTGTAGTTCAATCTGAGTTACATTTAAGGCACGGCTAAAGAGACCTGATTCGTCAGATTTAGAAAGTGTGTCCAGGAGCTTGGCTCCATCAGCAAGGAAACCTCTTGATCGAAAGTGTTTAGTTGTATCATTTGAGAGGTCTTGATGCAAAAGCCTAGCTGTGTTCTTGCCCAATTCTTTTCAGCTTTGGTTCTCTAACCTGTACATTGAGAATAATTTTTGGCCTTTCAGTGTCTAAAACAGTGTTTCTGAACCTCAGCAATGTTAAGATGTGTGGACTTCAACTCCCAGACTTCCTCAGCCAGCAAGACCACACGTCTTAAGGTTGCTGATCTAAAGCATGATTGTCTTTTTGGGGCTTAACTGCCACAGTTTTCCCCAATGAAGCTTGAGAAGTATGAGAAAGATGACAGAGCTAGGGTTGTTTGCTGGTTTATAAATCATACATATAGGTTGTCCCACTCACCAGATAAATTTCTACTATCGCATGGAAATACAGTTCCCGCAATTCCTTGGAGGAAATGCCATAGACTTGTAAAGCAAATAAAGCATAAATATAGCTAACAATAATAGGCCATTTGTTTCCTGCTCTAGAAAATAGGATTTCCTCCCCCCCACCTCCGTTTTCCCTAAGAAAGGGAAGAATCTATGCTTCTATCTTTTTAATGGTCCTGAGGTTTATTGATTCCACCTGATAATTTTTATGGGCGTGGTTGCCTCCATCGAGGGCAGGCATGTCAAACACGCGACGTCATGTGACATCACACGACATATCGCGACTTTTCCCCCATTGCCGGCAATGGGGTGGGCGCAGTTTTAGGGTGACGCATCCGGCCTGTGGGCCGACAGTTTGACATGCCTGATCTAAGGTGTGATCCTAGTGGAATTTAATGCAACAGTGAAATCCTCCATTAACATTCTGTTTGGTAAATTTTTTCCTTCTTTCTCAGGGCTTCTTGGAATTAAAGGACCAATTGCAGAGTTGTCAAAAAGAAAATGAATTGGCCCTTCAGACTCTGCAGGACCAGGTGAGCAACCTTTCTACTTGCCTGACCTCCTCTGATCTGCCTCAAACTATAATTTTGGTGAGATGTTTACTTTCTGATATTGTAGGCCTGTGCAGAGGATTGAATCTCTGTTTCCCCTTCGGGAGGTTGGTCTTATAGCTCCCATCAGTCTCAAGCCGTATTGGGGTGCTGGAACTAATGGCGTATGAAAGGCATAGGCATATACACTTATGCCTGTTCTTGAAGTAAGATGATAAAATGTATATTGCCTTATAGAAGTAACAGATACCCAGAGAGCTCCCTGAATAGATTCTAGTTTTTGCCAGAGCTATATGGTTTCAAAGTTTATTTATTATAGTGCAGTGGTAGGCAATCTTGGCTCTTTTACGACTTGTGGACTTCAACTCCCAGAATTCCTGAGCCAGCATGGCTCAGCTTGGAACCTCTCCCTTTCCCCTCAGCATGGCTGGCTCAGGAATTCTGGGAGTTGAAGTCCACGAGTCATAAAAGAGCCAAGGTTGCCTACCCCTGTGATTCCTATTTGCCACCAAAGAAGCAGAATTATATGGCTTGTGTTAATTATGTCATTTGAGAACATTGACGTTAGGAGCTGTAGAAAATGTGGAATTCTGATTTTGCTTTTGTAGGGATGGACAAAGATTCGTTTTTCTAATGGTAAAGTATTCTTCAAATCATAAAAGCTGGAGATGCGTGACCTTTTGAAGTAAAAAATAATAATCTGTGCTTGCTATTATGTTTTGTAGTTTTCTCCTGTGATACTGTGACATAGGTCAGCCCGAAGTCCTGTAGATGGTTGAACTGCACTTCCCCAATTATTAATCATCCCTGATCATTGGCCAAGTGATTGAGGCTAATAGGAATCTGAAACATTTAGAATGAATTATCTTAGTGAAGCCTGAAATGTAAACAAGGAGGCCTTTTGACCAGCTCTGGCAGATAACACCAGCTGGATCAGGAGGTACTAAAGACAGTGCCTTAACTCTCAGCTAGACTTCACTCATTTACTTTACATAGGGCTGCCCTTGAAAGTGATTCCGAAGTGCAGCTGGCATCAAATACAGCTGTTTTCTTGCGATCTAGTACTAGCCAGTTCAGCAGAATAACCCCTATTTTATGGGAGCTGGTTGCTGTTGGCCTCTGGCCCAATTCAGAGTGCTGGTGATTACATATGAGCTCTATACAATTGAACTCTTGCTACCTCTGGGCTCTTTTCCTCCAGGTAGACCAGTGGTTCTCAACCTGTGGGTCGGGTCCCCATTTGGGGTCGAACGACCATTTCACGGGGGTCGCCAAACAACGCAGTCCGCCATTTTTTCCCCCTTTTCCTTACCTGTGCTACTCCCTTTTATTCTATTGGCTTTTGAAAGCCAATAGAATAGACTCTCTTGAATAAAATCTAATTCTATTGGCTTTCAAAAGCCAATAGGAATTGTCCAGGCTGTCTCTGCCCTGCTGAGCCCGTCAAAAGTCCCATTCTGCAAACGGTGCTGCACCAGTTGAGTAGTCCTCGACTTACGACTGGTTTAGTAATCCTCGACTTACGACCGGTTGGGGGTCACGGCATTAAAAAGGTTGAGAACCACTGAGGTAGAATCTGTGTGAAGCAGAGAGAGAATGATGCTCATCCCACAGAAGATTGGGGGGGGGGGTCCTGCCTGTTGGCATTCAAAATCACCATAGTGATTTCATGTTATATTATGTTCCTATTATGTATTATCTTGTGGCTGTTTTTAGATTGTGTACTCTTAAGACATGTGGTCATAAGTCACATATAAAGACGTGGGTAATAAATAAATAAAGCAAGCCAGATGGCTGACTGGCAAATGGGTTGGCTAGCTGTAGGATTGATACAACCTGCCTCTGCTCGTTCACTGAGTTACTTCAGTAGAGATTCATCTGAGGTTTTTTGGCACTGATCTTACTTTCCATAAAGTAATTTGCCTGCTCTCCTTTCCATTTAATTCAGTAAGTTGCATGTTGGCATTCTGTTCCTATTCTTGCCATACTCTATGTGTGGGCGTGTGAATTACGTTGACCCAGTATGATTTTATCTCAGTCTGTCTTTCCCAAGTATATTTCTGAATGCAGAACACGCATTCTCCTTGGTACTTTATAAAAGAAATCTGAATTTGCTAGTGGGGATGGGGTTACCTTTCCTGAGATACTTCCTTGGCAGTAAATCCAACTGAACCTAATAAAACCTATTGAGGTTGATATGAAATTGCATTGTAATGTTTCTCTAGGTATGGAAGTCAACAGCTAAAAAAATGAGAAACCTGGGACTTAAAATATGAACACTACTAGTGGCAGTTGTTGAGCTAATACTCCAAAAGCATTAAATATAAGTAATGGAAACTTGCTATAAAACTAAAGCACCCCCTCCCCACCCCAAGGAAGCTGTTGTATCACTGCCCTGTGAATACATCTCTAGTGTCAGTGGGGAGACAGACACTGTATCCAATGGGTTTATATCATTCATTTGCTCCATGCTGAAAATGATGCAATTTCAGACAAGGCCACGTGTTGCTTTATTGAATGAATTCCTCTTAGCTATCCTCTCTTCCTTTGAATGATGTCTTATTTAGTCATAAGCATATGTAAATGTGAAATTGTGCTAATCTGCTAAAGTGTCAGAAAGTTATAGAAGGCAGTTATCTGCTATGAACCCAAGTTCACGTATTGTCCTCCCAACACAAAGATTGTCCCCCTGCATTGTGTTCCTAGGATGCTCCTTATAAGAGAATCAGAACTGAAGGGCCTTTGTGGATGATGATTGTCTTGTATGTGCATTGACTGAATATAAATTTTATGTGTAGTTTTAGTCATACATTGTGATATTGAGTTTATACATGGCAATGAGATTATAATCAGCCAGTGTCTATTTTATCTTTTGCAATGTTCTTTATTTTGTTTACCATTGAATGTGTTACCATGGACATTTTACTATGGATATTTTAATTACATTGTTTAGCATAGAAATTTTAATCAACGATCTTATGTAAATTGATGTGAGAATGGACATCATATTTGTATGCTGCTGAATTGATTCAACAGCATACAAATCTGACAAATCCATTATTGCACAATCAGTAGCAGAGCTGAGCTGCGAACCATCCTACAGGCTGCAAAAGATGGGGAAAATCTATAATGCTGTTAAGTATTTAAGAAGAAATGTGAAGCTAAAATAGCCGTTAATGAGAATTGTTATCTGAACAGATCGCAGCTCCCTAGAATTTAAACCAGAGCATTGACACATATGTAGGTTCTGCATGCTGTATATATATTCTGCCAATGCTATCTGAGTTGCTCCTGAAAGTCTCCAAATGAAGAAACTAATTCCAGTATAAAGAGTTGAAAGCGTGGAAAACCCAGATTTATTGTAATACTGAGTTGAAGATTTTTGGCCATGGTGGTAGTGATGGGAGAAGAGTTCAAATAATCTGGAGAGTACTGCTGATACCTTCCCTTTTAATAAAACAATACGATGCATATGGGAATAACTTTCATTCAGTGATCTTAATTCTTTTATGGTGCAAGTTTCTACATTCATAATCTCTTTTTATTTCTAAATGGGGTCATTCTTGGTGGCTCTGAATGACAAAAGGAAAGTAATTTCAGGTTTTGAGGTTATGCTGGTAGGGGAAGAAGTGTTTTTTTATCTCAAGGTTGTGGAGAAGAATTAAATTCCGATTTTCTCCATTCTCAACCTATGGCAAATAAAAACAATTAAAATCAGTCCAATTGGCTTAAATCTTTTGAAAAAGGAGGCATTGGGAAAACGCCACTGCATCAATCAGGCTTTGCCCACATAGAAGAATGGAAAGAGACGAGAGAGAGAGAGAGAGACGAGAGAGAGAGAGAGAGAGAGAGAGAGAGAGAGAGAGAGAGAGAGGGGGGGGGGGAGGAGGGAGGGGAAATGTATGCAAAACCATCTATGTATTTTTAAGGGAACTTTGATGCACATTTTCTCTCTGGTATGTTCTCCTTGTTGGTATTAACTTTATATACCAAATTCACATTGTAAGTCTCTCCAGAGAGAATATTCAATATGTTTTACCTGTTGATTTGGGGGCCATGCTATTTTGAGAATATTGTATCGGAATCTTCATTTCTTCTGCATAACTTGCTACCTTAGGCTTAATTTCATCCAAGGAGCAGATGATGTAAAACTTAGAATTTTCTAGGTAACAGTATATATAAATATATACTAGATAAGTTCTTTCTGAAAATATACAGTTCAGAACACTCGTTAAATTCAGATGCTGTTTAGTATGAAATAGACTTAAGATTTCTTTATTTTCCTTTCCTTTATGCCAGTGATGGCGAACCTTTTAGAGACCGAGTGCCCAAACAGCAACCCAAAACCCACTTATTTATCGCAAAGTGCCAGGGCCGCATCAGCATCGGGGGGGGGGGGCAAGGAGGCGCCTCTGAGTGCCGCCTCTGGCACACAAAAACTGGGGGTGCAAAAATGGGCCACTGTGCTGCAAGGTGCAAAAATGGCCACCACTACGCCGCGGGGTGCAGATACAAGGTGCTGCACCATGCAAGAATGGGGCAGGGCTAGTGAGTATCACTATTTGTAGCGCGCATGCTTCCCCTCCCTTTTCTTTCAGTCAACCAATTGACAATGGTTGGTGACTTCTATCACCTCTATTCGAGCTTGCTAGTTGGCCGCTTCGCCTCCTTTGTGCTGGGTGGGGCTCCTGCTCTGGGTGGCGGTGGCAGCCTGATGGACCTGCTGTTGGCGGCGGTGGTACACGTGCCAACAGAGAGGGGTCTGAGTGCCACCTCTGGCACATGTACCATAGGTTCACCACCACTGCTTTATACCACTCAATTTCTCCTTGAGCTGTTACTGTTGTATGTTATTCTCCCTTTGATCTTCCTCTCCCCAACCTTTCTTGGGCAATGCTTCAGGCTAATTCCTTACTATAAAAGTGACTCACTTGGCTTCCATTGATTTTTGATTTACAGTATTTGATCAACAAAGACCTAGTTGCAAGTCTTTTTTCTGAAGGGTAATTCTTCTCTGATGAATGGACTATGTAGCTCCAAAGGATTGTCACATGTCAAGAGTTCATCAGTTTTATTTTAAGCAGGAGATATGGACATTCCTAAGAGTGTTGCTATTGTTACCTGTTTTTGTAGCTAGAAATAGGATTGCAACGTTCAACTAAAATTTCAAAAATGAAATGTTTTAATTCTTCGGATGGCTGCTTATCTTTCACATGTATTTGGATTTCTATATTCTCTGTTGCAGGATCAGTTGGTGACTTGTTCAGAACTATCAGTTTTCTGCCTCCTGTGTCTTCAGCAATGCCAAAGTTAGAAAATGGAGCAAAATACACCCTTAACACCCTCATTTGAAGCCAGCTGTTATCTTGAGATAGGCTTGGATATACTTTGCATACTCTAAATATTTTATTTCCCATCACATAATATAACTGAATTGCCTTGGATTTCAGATAATTCATCCAAGTCCACAGTACTGAAAGCCCACTTTCTCAGCTTAAAGCAGGAATTCTGGGAGTTGAAGTCCACGAGTCATAAAAGAGCCAAGCTTGCCTACCCCTGGTTTATATTGTATTAGATTTTACTATTCTAGTAAACATTCTTAATAAAAATTATATCTATGTGTATATGTAGGAAGGGGATGACCTCCAGCCCACCCACCCCTAATGTACCACCAAAATGCAGTGTGCCCCTGGATTGTGGGATCAAAGGTTGACTCCTGATTTCAAGTATAATCCAAGTTCTATTTGAAAGCCGTATTCTTTGGTTCCCTTTTAAAGATTCAAATGTTGCTTGAGTCTATGCTGTTTCTCTGGGCACAATTACACATAACTTCATCCTCACAATGAGTTGCTATGGGAAACTTGTAAGATGTTGCCAGTGATGCTTTTTTGAGGCCTTACAGCTTCTTAGCCGTGTGCTTTGATAGACAGATGGGATTTCCTAGATTGGCTGTGGCTTCTTCCAATTTGGTATTGGATCATAGTTTATTGTAAAATTTATTTTACGACTTTGGTTATTCTTTCCCTAACCCATTTCCTCTTGGACACAGTTTTGTGTTCTATGCCATTGTGATGGAAGTGCTGTTCTATTTCAAGTGAAGTAAGCAATAGTCCATTTTAAACTATTATTTCTTCAGGTAAGCTTTTTTCTGGAAAAAAACATAGCAGCCATGAATTGGATATTTCATCTGTAGTTATTCTTCAGAAAATAATTCTTCAAACTATAGCACCATTATCTTTTCCAGTTTGATTATTCAAAGTTCCCCTAATTCTAAAGCAAAATTATCTCATTGGTCTCTTTGGGAATCCCTATTGGAGTTTATTATTATTATTATTATTATTATCGATCATCGCACAGTCAGCCAGATGTTCAGACTGGATTTGGCATTTTGTCTACCTATCGAGTCCTTAACCAGGACCTGGGATAGGCAGATGTGGATGTTTGATGGTATTACAGATATCGTCGCAGGATGGAAGCAGTTCCTAATAAGGCTGCCTTTTGCAATTGACTAATAGCGAATTTGTCAATGCCAATGGTGTTCAAGTGGTGCTCCAGTTGTTTGGGATTAGCCTATGACTATTGGTACTACCCTTGCTTGCTTTTGTATTTGTATTTTGTATTTTGTTATCTTTCTTTCTCTTCTATTCTGCTATCTCCAGGCACTGCCACGTCCACTATCCAGACTTTTTTGTCTTTCTTATCGACAATTGTTAAGTCTGGGGTGTTATGTTGCAGGTGCTTGTCTGTTTGAATTCTGAAGTCCCAGAGCAGTTTAATTTTATCATTTTCTATGACTTTCTCTATTTTATGATCCCACCAGTTTTTGCTTACAGGCAAATGATATTTTTTGCAGATCTTCCAATGCACCATTGTTGCTACTTTGTCATGCCGGTGCTTGTAATCAGTTTGTGCAATATTCTTGCAACAGCTTACCAAGTGGTCCACTGTTTCTTCAGCTTCTTTGTATAGGCGGCACTTACCGTCTGTTGCTAACTAACTTAATAAGATAAGCCAAATAGGTTTGACTGGCTACCTATCAGATTAGCATCTGGAAGTGTCCCGGTTTCTCTAGTAGCACAGCAAGTGTTGTGTTTAAACAGACTTTGGGGGACTAGGGACAAAACATAGGGTAATGATCTAAAATGGGCGGGCTCATATTACACATATGGATGTGACTAGTTTCCACATTCCACTCCACTCTGGTTCTTGAATTGGATTTGGGGATTTCCTTCAAGTCTGTTAAAACTCTGTCAGCATATTTAGCTTCTTTGATTATGGTTTGCGTACTTAATGGCGGAACACACTGGTTATTAGCAAGTTGGTTGGAAAAAGATGTCGCCGTGTGGAATACCTGGGAGAATAAAAATGTGCAGAAAATATATATAAAAAGGTCATGCCAGAGGAATGTAATATGTACTTAAAATGACATTGTGTGTCAAAATGTAATTGACAGAGCTCCTAACATTATCTGCCTGTCCGTCACAGCCCTTGGTTCTACTTTGTTCTTGGCTTGAGCACAACTACACACTCTTGACTACCCTTTATACTTTGTAGGTCTGACTAAGCCTGACTTAAGAGCCCCTTATTTAATAGTACAATACTTTAATATTCAGGCCCACTGCAATTGAACATTGCTTTGGAAATTACAGACAATGAGGATCGATTTATGAGTGGAAGGGCCTAACCCAGGCCCATCAGTTTATCTGAATATTTTCTGGAAATCTTTTTCCTTCAAATGCAGTAATTTACAGCTGAAATGATTGCACACATTGCTTCACTCATAGTATACAGTAAGTCAGTTGTTGGCGGAATTATTTTTTTGAAGGTGGGGAGTTTCTACCCAGGAGACCGTCATAATAGACCATAATATTAGGAACTTAACACTGAAAATACTCTCTTCCTTTCTATTTAATTGTTCCATTTCTTCTCTTAGATTCCCATCTTCCCAAGGGCTTTTCCCTCCTCTTAATTTGCTTTCCTTGTTTTAACCTTCTTCTTTTCTCAAACAGGTTTGGTGATTATGTTGAGTCTCTAATAACTGTGTCTTGTCCTGATAACTGAAATGTGCTTCATTTCGTTAATTGCTTTATTTTCATAGCAATTGATGTGCCTTTTTAAAAAAAAATGGTTTCTAAGCTTGCTTTCTCTAAAAACAAAATAAAAACCAATCACAACCCTTGTCCAAGACTGCTAGTTCCATGTTTTGCTCTATTTTTAATCCTTATTTTCTCCTTCCCCCCCCCCACCGCGTTTGCTCTCCCCTTCCCCCCACCTCTGCCTCTCCTTCCTTCCTTCCTTCCTTCCTTCCTTCCTTCCTTCCTTCCTTCCTTCCTTCCTTCCTTCCTTCCTTCCTTCCTGTTGCCCATTCTGCCCTTTATGGGCTCTCAGGTTGCGTGCCAAAGTGCGGAGAGCCAGGAACAGGTTGAGACCATTCTGTCTGAAAATGATGCTCTGAGAACCAACCTTGCAGCATTAGAACAGGTACCAGGTTCCATCTTGTGAGCCAAGTGGTTGGAGGGCAGAGAAGGTGGCATTGAGGATGATGAAATTAAAGGGTGTAACTATGCATTTTTACAAGGAGGGTATGTGTATTACATTTACAGCATAAGCGAGGCTAAATGACCAGCAGCAATGTGTGTGTGTGTGTGAAGAATTCCTGTTTATTGCATTTACATTCCTCCCTTCATCCAGCATACTGTGTATGAGATATGTGCGTGCATTTTCAACCTTTCCTATTGAGTTAGATAGGGTAAGAATAGACAGGTACCAAACCATCTTCTAATCTTCATGGATAACTGGGAATTTGAATGTTAGGATCTCCAAGCCTGGTCTGGTATTTTAATTGCTATACCACACTGACTCTGGTTCAAGGAACTTATTAACCTCACTTCATCAGTGCACAACAACAGAGCACTTCTCTTGAGCAAGGATGAGTAGCTGTTTAAGCCCAGGGACATGCATCTTTTTTGAGTGGCTAACAGTTGCAATGAAAGCAGCAGTAAAACTAGACAGGACTGTGTCGTAGACAGATTTGAGACCCAGATTTTTTTTTTCTAGGCTATGGAAGAGTTGGCTTTTTTTTTTAAACAAAAAATCTAGCTTAACCCTACAATTTTTACTTCTTTCCTGCCTTTAAACAACAGGAATTCCACATGCTCTTGGCTTGTCTAAAACCAGAAGAATCTAAGTTCTTCAGGAGAATGCTCTGTTACAGTCAGTTGTTTTGTCCTGCTGTGAAATGTCTGTGTCATTTTAGAAGAAAGTGATTGAGATTGCATCATAACTCACTCTCTCTCCCTCTCCCTCCCTCTCTCTCTCTCTCTCTGTCTCTCTGTCTCTCTGTCCCTCTCTCTGTCTCTCACTCTCTC